CCAGCGGTCCAAACGTTCTGCTTTGCTGCATATCAGGAAGCCATTTTGGTCCCTGATTGTTTCACTGACGAGGTTTCCGAGGACCAGTCGAACGTGGAACTCAAGTGAAACTCTCCGGGTCTTCCTCTATTGGTCAAGGGTAGTTACAAGCACTGGCAGATCGGCAGAATCAAGCACACTAGAAGTCGATGTACGCCACGATGGTGGATAGCGTGTATATGTGACGGAGTTCAGTTCAGTTTTCCCCCAGAAAAGAATGTACCAAACTACAGTGGTTACGGTTGCTAGAGGACAAGTAGAATATTGGAGTGCGAGCTACGTGGTGGATACAGTGGTCCGTTCTTTTCGGAGGCATCGCACGGGTCTCTTCATTCAATATGACAGAGAGCGAGGGCTACACAATGAAGGCGAAAGCTTTGATACAGGTTCGCCATTGGCTACGTGATGCAGCCGTGACTGTCAGGTTCAATAACTATTGGTTGTCTTGTTCCGCTGTCCCCATCCAGAAGACGGTGGTCACCAACTCGACTCAGCTGACAACTACTGGCTTTAATGATTCGTTGCCAGGCCAAAAGGTGGTCAGTCATGGATCGTCTCCATTCCAGAAGGGTGGGTAGAAAGGCTCTACGAGGTAAATGGTCGTGTGTCACACGAAGTGCCCGGCCCAACCAGCGTAATCTGTGGAATATGATCGACTGAGCATCCCCAAATACCGTCTGGCGTGCTTGATCATTACTATTCTGAATCCTTACCAGACTGGCGCAAATTTTCGGAGGCACCTGTTTAAAAAATATCGTTCAGTTGTAGCACTCTATCGGTGCGTAGCTGCCATGCTTCCCGAAGGATGACAAACACCGAGAGCCTTCGAGTGTCTTTGCACACCTAGCGGCTTCACCTCTGATCCAAAAGGTAGAACAGACCGGACTGTGGCATTTTACACTCTACCCTTGACAGTCAAGCTGATTTCACGCCAGCACCACAAATGTCGGAGTTTAGCAAACGCTATCCTGGCCTCAATTCTGAAAGTGATTTCGTCTTTCGCCAGGCCGATGGCACCTATTTGGCTCCCCAGAAAAACGAAGTTTTCTACTTTGTTGACCAGTTCATGGAACATGAGGTTCGGGTTTGATGCCCTCGAAATAGCTCAGCACCAGATACAGACCGGGGGAAGGGTCCCTTGTTCGAACCCAGCTTCAGCATCTCGATTGATCCTGTTATAGGCTTGGGCAACCTGGAATTATCCCAGTCCTCGTACCTCTTTCCTTTGGCATGGCAGCTAGTCAACGAAAGAGTGCTGCAGCTGAACGATTTTTGGTTTGGTCTCAGTCTTGTGCCATTATCTTACATTTTGAAGGTGTGGGGCGCATGCCGAACAGTGCTGAAATAGTCTGCGTTTCTGAAGCGTCCGATCCAAAAGAGGCAACATCGTTGGCGCAAATAACACCCCGGTGGTATTTCGTTTCCTAAGGTGTTAGAGGCCTGTAAAGAAGCTTCAAGCGGCGTATTGATTACGAAGTTAAAGTGAAAGGATGTCAAAGGATACCCTTGCCCGACACCACTAGAAGTCGTTAACTCCGGAGAGGATTTGCATTAAAAACGTGCGAGTCGACGGAATCAGCCACAGACCCTTTATAATATGCAGGGTTTTGGAAGGGATATCCCAACATTATCGTTTATTTTTGAAGAGCATATGGGAGAAAGAAACGTCTCATTCGAAATCATGCCAAGGATAGTGCCAGTCTGATGAGGTGAACCCCAAAGTATGTAAAGCTTTTGGTATGGTATGACGCGTCTAAGGACCAACAACCAAAGAAAGGACAAACAATGGTGAATGCTCTTCAAGGCGCAGTGTGCGCTAGCACAGTCAAGACTCGCACATCAGGCACAAAGTGACCGTCATACTGGGTCTGGTGTGAGATTAAATGGCAAAAATGTACCTTCA